GTAATGAAAGAGAGAAGCATTACCTTGGGGGGTAGTCTTGATAGAACTATCAGTTTGTATGTTAATTATATGAGTTTATTATAGCACATTAAAAACTGAGTCTGCTGTCTAATGTCTCAGGATAAAATCTAACAAAGTGTTATGTCTTTTTAAATAGTAGTATTTTTGTCATCATGTTATAGAATATACTTAAGCAGGCAGGGTTGGATTCTTGCTGCTCACTGGCTTTTTTTCAGCCAAAACAAACCCCAACAACTAAAAGTTCAGGTGTTTTGAGTAGTGTGGTGCACATGATAAACTGAATGTCTGAGGAGCAGGGGAGTCTTATCAGTTAGTTGTTAGTTGCAAGGTGGCCAAATTTTTATTTTGTGAAACCAATTATGTTTTTTTAGTTTCACAAAAAATAAAGTTCAGTATTTTGATTTAATTGTGTCCAAGTCACCAAAAAAATCTCATATAAGGAAGTAATATAGTGATATTGGAAGAACTTGTGCATAGGAAGACTTATATCTGACATCCCATCTTGTTGGGTTTTTTTTTTATTTATTTTGTAGACATGAGATCTGCCACAGAATTCAGGAATGTGCTTTATTGGACCATGTTTGAGAAAAAGTATTTTTTTAATTCTAATTTTTATTATAAATATATTAACAGATTTGTTAGAGGGGTAGGCTGAAATTTCAAACATAGTCTTTGCTACCCAGAACTATCCCATTTTGTAACTGGTGAAGTTAAAAGCACGAGTATCTCCCTCAGCAGAATCCCATCCCTCCTGTCTTGTGTCCAGTGACAGCAGAACTCTGACCTGTTTGCTTCCTAAATTACTTTTATCTGTTTGAGAAGCAGGCAAAATTTTACTTTCAGTTTCAAAAGGAAGGATACCTCAAGCAGGCTTTGCCTGTTCTGTTTTGTACAAACAGTTCCTCATGCTTTCAACTCCTTTTTGGGAGTGTGGGTAAGCAAAGCTAAGTCACTCACTCGGGTGGCACTGGGAGAAAGAATTCTCACCTGGATAGTGGGACAGACTGACCCACCTGGGATGTGGTGCCCTATAAATGTAAGTACACAAGCTATATTCTTTATCCTTTTACCTGGATAATAGGCTGCATATAGAATTGCTTGTGAGCTATTCTGCCACGTTCCAGAGTTTTACTGAATTGATAGATCTGTTTCACTAGTTGTGAAGACAGGTTTTCAAGTCAACCAAATACTATTATGCTTTGCATTGAATTATCAGGTAAGTAGGATCTAACTTGATGTTTGTAGTAATTGACAACTCTATTTTTTTCCTGAGTGCCATGACCATGGATTACAGTTTAGTCTTAAAGCCAGGAAACAGATAAATGGCAGGACTTCAAATAGGAGGAGTTTGGGGTTTTGCCTCTTTTGGAGAAGTTTTCAAGTTACATTGTTGGGCTCACTGGCTGTCTCATTGGATACCAGGAGAATTTGTTAAAACCATATATCAAAGATACAAGCAATTCTGACTATTTCACCCTCACAATTGTCTGACATGTAGGATGTCTCTGAAAACAGGAGATTATGTATTGCTCCCATAAAGAGAACGTGTCAGGGAGAACAAGATTAATCAGATGCTTTCAGGTGTCATTACCGATGGAGTGTTATCCTCACCTAAGTAATGTTATTGACTCTGCCTGCTGGTTCTCCTCACCTGTGTAAATCACTTTGATCCCTTCTAAATGAGGCTGATTAAAAGCAAAGCATTGTCATTGCCCACATGTGAGAGATTACAGAACAGATAATGGGATCAGTTACATCTCTCAGTTTTATGAGTGTTTTCTGTGAGAAAAGGAAAAGGGAGGAAAGGGACTTCTGATTTTTGGGGGGAGTGAAAAGGGAATGTCTTCACTTAGGCAAACAGGCATACACTGAACATAGCTCCCTACAAATGTTTCCTCTTTTGTTTTGGAAGTTTACCATTACCTAACAACAATGAATTATTGTCTGTTAATACTAAAATTTAATGAAAAAATAGTCTTCTAGCTGTGAGAAGTCACTTAGCTATAAGTGAACATCCTTAAGTCAGCATGATTTGGCCGATCTTCCCCTTCCCCCGTTTTCTGCCTGCACATAGCATGAAGTGAAGAGAGCAAACTACTTCTGTCTGTATGAAAAGACGAGGCATCAGTTGTCCCGTCTAGGACACAGGGGAAGGGTCATGTTTGCTGTGACACTCTGCATCCGCTCCTCTGCATGCTGAGTTCGCTCCCCCTTGAGAGGAAACCCGTGTTTCGGGTTCTCAGCTGGATGGGGGATGCCAGGCAGGCACTTGCAGTAGCCCCTGTAGTCCTTGTGTGTTCCTCTACCCCAGCAGCGAGACGAGTTTCATCTTCCTCAGGTCTTCTGCTTGGAACAAATTCAAGGATTCTGGGCCTTCTGGATAGTTTTGTCTAAAGTTATATCAAACCATGTGTATATTACGTTCTTTTTAGGTACATTCTCTACACACCAGTTGTCCTTGCTAAAATCTTTCCTTGAAAAGAGCATTAAACAGAACTGCAAGATTTTGGCACGAGGGGTGACAAAGGGTGGATACCTCTGGGACCAGTGTCAGAGCCATTCAGCCCCTTTGACCCTTTTGACCATCAGAGCTGCTCTGTAGCCTTCTCCTTCATTATCCAAGCACGGCACATGTGGCAAGTGTGGAGACAACAGTATGACGTGCATCTCAGTCTTGTTTGCCCAAACAACTGCTGTTGGATTGAAATGTTGTTGCTTTAAAGGTGGCAGCATGAAGACTTGCTGAAACCCCGTCCTCACATTAAAAGCAGGACATCAGTGCTGCACAGGAAAGGGAAAACATTTAACGAGGAAGGAAATAACCAGGGTTGTGGTGGCATTTGCATATCAAGTTAAATTTGCATTTCTGTCTATATAATCACACCCTTATGACTGTTACCCCTAGATGCTGGGTTTATTGGGGTCAACAAGATTAAGTAGTGGTGTGGGACAGTTTTGTTCTTTACTTATTTCCACACTGGAGAGCCGTTTGCCTTCTGTCCCCTCTGTATCTTCCTGGAACTGCACATGTGGTGGGTCTCGGAGCACTGAGGAATGTCTGGCTCACGGGGCAGACAGAGCCCAACAGCCTGGTACCAGCTTCCTCCTTTCAGGTGTTTCCCATCCTGTGCTTGTTGGTTTGAATATGAGGGTTGTTGTTTAGAGTAGGGGAAATGAAAAAAGAAAAAAAATAGAAAAAAGGCACTGAGCTGGGTTCTCATCCTGATCTAGTTATATTGGCCTCTTGCCCACAGCCCTGTTCTTCCAGTAACTTTTCCAGATATCACTGAAAAGACACACTGCTGTCCTTTGTCTGAGGAAACAGGTATGTTTTGCTGTTTTTCTTGGAAACTTTGAAATAAAGCACTATGATTGCTGTACTTCAGTGGGTCATGATGAGAAGCACAACAGGAGGTTTATGTATGGATGCATGTAGAAGGGATTCTTGTAACTGCTCTGCACTGCTGGAAGGTTTGATCCACACATCACTCCTGTGGCAGTGGTGTACAATGACCTCTGTAAAGCTACAACCAAGGCTTTTTTTTGATCGTTTAATTTCACTTTCCCCACAGGGCACTGACCCAGTAGCAGCAGAGTTCGGTCTAAATACTCACATGTTTCTGCTGCCTAAAAAGGAGCTTTGGTTATCTGATGGATCAGTGGGGTTTGGAGAAGGAGCTGATGTAACCTTTGCCAAGGGTAAAAAGTCACTTGGACATTAAGTGTACATTAAGCTCAAATTGAACTACTTTTAACAAGAGCTGAATATGTAATTTCCCAGTTTTCTATATATTTCTAGCCTATATATTTCCACTGCAAAAAAGCAAAATGCAGAAGCACTAAAATATGATGGAATTTAGTGAAATTGAAACAGGCTTTGGTTCTGTTTATGGGCTCTGAGGAGAGGAAAAGCATTCCAAAGGTAGCTGCAGAATTCAGGTGCGTGAATCTGAAACTACAGTTCTGAACCCCCTCGCTGAGTTACTGCATGATCACATACTCCTCTTGTTCTAGTTGTTTTGCTTTGGAGCTGCCCACACTAGAACTTTTTGCCCCATTTTGAGGGGGCTGAAAAACTTCATTGCTTGGGTTATCTTAGTCAGAAATGCAGGAATTGAATACTTGTACCTGAGGCTCCTTGACTTGGTCCTGCAGCTGTTCTTGATTGCAGATGGGATGCACAATAACTGCAGCTGGCTCCAGCCAAGCTGCTCAGACTCACTCTTGATCCTTTTCCGAGTTCTGGCCCAAGGCAGGTGCTCACACACACTGTACTCACTCAGTGATGGGAGCTGTTACCAGCTTCCAGGGAAACTTCTGGTAATGGCAGTGCTGGACCAGAAGTAACTTTGTTTTTAATTGCTCCCTGAGTTATCAGTCTGAAACTCAAATGTCCTGTTAAGAACTTTATTTTGCTTGATATAATGCTACAAGGCTGGTAGTTTCTTATACAGTATGTGTATGGGTTGCCCTCTAGTGAAGAGAAGGGAGAAGCTTGTTTAAAAGGAGCTGCACTTGCAGAGCCACAAATCAGTATGAATTGTAGCAGAAAATAAGATTAAAGCCCATAATAAACCAGTAGTAAGAGTCATGGAACATGTGCAAAGGGAAGTGCACTTAAAGCCAGGTCATTCCTGTCCTCAGAATTTTTAAGAACAATGATTTGGTAATGATTTAATAATTTTAAATTGACTGGTGTAATGTAAAATGTGTTAAGCTGCTTTACTAGGGTCTGAAATCTGTGGGCAAGTGATCCAGTTCAGAATCTTAGTGACTCCTTCAGCTGCAACATCGAGAAGTTGTTCCTTTGCACTGATGCCAATGGGTACATGCCCAAGTACAGCCCAGACCATCAGGAATATGGATGTCTGGCTGACTCACCCTCCCTCTTGTAGATTCAGGAGTTATGGTCACATGCATTTTCAGATCCCTGATCTCCATGTGACTCTGGAATTACTGAACTTACTTCCTTTAGGACAAAGCTCAACCTGAGACACCAGCAAGAGCCTTTGGAAACCTGGAGTTTTATGCTACGTCAGCATCTGATCATGCAGATGCTTTCCCTCAAGTGAAACAGCCTGGTTCTGATGGTTTCAGCCTGTCATCTGCTCCCCTTTTCCAGGTAAGTTGTCCACTAAGTTTGTCACAGAAATTCTTGATTCTTCCATGCTGAAAGACAACTGTGATGGAGAACAGGGCCTGCAGCTGGTCATGGGCAGTATCTTAGTCAGCAACAGACTTCAGCAGTGCATTTACTTAGTTCCCTCTCCCTAACAGTGTAGAAATGGGGACAGCATTGCTTTGTAACACCGAGCTATCCATGTGCAGCCATGCTGTTATTGTGGACACGTACACCTAGGACTGGGAGCAGCAGTCACTGGTTTAAGCTTACCATGGGAGCCTTTTTACATGTCAAAAAATAAGAAATTGGAGTTGTTTTTTACAACTGGGAAGGAAAAAAGTGATTGGTATGTATATGATATGAAACAAAACAAAAAAAAAGAAAATTATGCATCCTGCTTTAAGTCAGATTAATTCAAATTCCTGAAATCTTTCTTGGGTCTCCTGAAGCAAGGTTTTTGCCTAAATTAGACTAGTGTTTTGTTAGCTAAATGCAGTAGCCTTTCCCCATTAACCCTAGAGAGAAATAAGCTCTCTTGGGACATAGGATTAATCTTTCCTTAAGGCAGACTGCTGAAGTAGAGCAGATAAACTATCTCCAAGTGCCTATTTTTTGCTGTTTACTTGAATTAGAGTTACTTCACAGCAGACTTGGGACATCTGGCTGGATGAACGTGATACTGGGTGTTTTTCAGTTTATAGTAAATGTGCATGAGGGGTTGTTTCTGGTTGGTTGGTTTTTTATGTGTTTGGTGTTTGGCTTAAGGTGATAGCTGGCTGAGAATGGTACATTCACACTACATGGTCGGATCGAAGGGAAATGCACACAGTGGCAAGAGAAGCCTCAACTACCACCACACCCTGTCCTCTGCCAAGGGAGGAGTTGGCCCCACAGCTGGGAAATGCAGCAGAAGAGCCAATCCAGATGCCCCAATCTTCACACAAGACATTGGAGCAGGTAACAACAGGGGTACAAATATCCAGCACATTGCACTTGACCACCCTGACCAAACTGTCCTGCGGATAGACACGGTCCCGGCTGGCATGTTGCACCACAGGACAGTGCTGGGAGCACAGGCAGGGACTCTGGAGACAGCATTGTCCCTGTGACTGGGGCCTTGGCAGGCCTGTTCCTTCTGATCTGCGCTGTTGTCAAGGCAAAGGAAGGAGCCTTCTGCTGGGAAGAGCACGGTGCCCACCAGCCTCTCTGGCAGCACACGACACAGCAGCAGTGACAGTTCAGAAGTTTGGCCAGTTCCTTGGGTACTTGTCTTTTAACATGTGACTTCACCAAAGAGCAGATTCAAATCTAGCTCTTGGATGACTCCTTTGCACCGACTATTGGCTGGTTATTTGTAGTGGGCAGCTACTTCTGACAGGGTTGGTGTACCAGGTTCATTTGAGAGTGACTTATTCATAGAATTCAAACTAGTACTCCATGAATGGGAGTTGATGCTTTATCATTTTTTTTAAACCCTTTTTTTTTAAAATGTTTTGAATGTGCAGAAGTAAATGTGCCTTATATCCACCATGGAAGGCTGGTGCTTGGAAGGATGTTGGTTTTGATCACATGTACAGTATTTAGCTTTCGCATAACTGGTTTTGGTGGGGCAGTTGTTGCCTTCTAAATAATTTTTGATGGGGAAGAAGGAAGGTAGTAATATTAAAATGGAAGCTAAGCAGTAGATGCTAATATTCTTTTAAATAGGCAATACCAACAATTTTGTCTCAAATTTATAATGAAGACCTCAGCCATATGGACAAGAGACAAACAGGTAAGGCTGTAATTGCAGTTACCTGCAAGGAGAGCTGGTATGTCACCAGTGAGAATTAGACTGCATTGTAAAGCCACACTAGAAAAATGTCAATGTTTTAAGTGCTTTCAAACATCCTTAAACAGACTCTAGCACTTCAGAACAATGGTAACAAACTCCTTCCTATATTGTACAATAATCATCTATTTGTTTGCCTGACTATAGCATCAAAATACAGGCAAATACTTATAAAAGAACAGTTTTTGTTGCCATATGGCACTGGGGAAACACCTGAATCATCTAGAGCAAAATATTTTGCTTGTTTTTTTTATTTTCTGAAAGAAAATGGATTTTCTCTAAATTGGCAGGATGCCATTTGGGAGACTAAGGTTTAGTTCCTTTCACTTTCTGCATGCAGCCACTTGAGAATTGTTAGCACAAATGAAGTGCTGCTTAACTATTTAATAAATCTTCCCCTTCTGCTTCCTCTAAAGGTTTTTATTCAGATTAGCTTAAAACAAATGATCATGGTTTGACTAGTTTGGGTTTTTTTTTTTTGTGAAAAGGGATGCTTTTAAAGCTGCAGCATTTTTATTTAGGGTATGCTAAATGTAAGCAGTTAAACTGATTTCTTCTAGGGCTGCCAGGACAATTCAACTTATGAAGTGCTGTAGACTGGCTGTCAACCCTGCTGCACCTGCCACAGTGATTTTTTTAAGTGGTTATTCAGTGTTCTCAGCTGGTGTCTGCAAATCAGTCACTGGCAAATAGAAACTCAGGTCCTATACCAATAAAAACTGAACTGCTGCCCAGAAAATTAAATCTACATCTGGGAATTGTCAGCAAAGCTGATTTTTCATTATTTCCCTATGTTTACACAACACTGCTGCCCTTGGATACGTGTTCTTAAGCAGGCCAAAACTGAGCAAAGATTGCGAGCATTTGCTGTGATTTGGTTTGTTTGTTTTCCTAGTAAATTCTAAATTATGCCACATGAGATGATGGCATCTCAGTCAGAGTATGCAGACACAGCACCAAGAAGGGACAGTGCAGGGAACACTCGTGCATGGCACTGTTGGACTGGCTCAGGGCAGAGCCAGGGTTGCTAATTACAGCTGTGCACAGCTGGAGTCAGCACCAGTTCCTTTCACATCACACCAGTGCTGTCTCTGATCTACCCCAGCTGAGCGTGTGAGAGCAGCAGGTTGTGTTTCATGTATTGTCACGTTTTCTGTTCTGACTTCTTGTTGTTTGCCAATACCCCCATTCTGCCATGCTTAGGCCAGTCTAATGCAGTACAGACCTCAGCATCACTGACTGACTGACCTTTCTCCTGGAGCAGATTTTAAGCAGAAAGTGTTACAATTCTGTTCCAATCTGTATGTGTGCTGATCATTACTCCTGAGGTAAATAACTGGCCTTTCCACAAATTTCAGGGAACGGAGGATATTTGTGCATAAAAGTAAGTACAGTAAAGCTAAGGTCAGAGCCACAAAAGTTCCAGAAATTGAGATTGTCCATCATGATCAACAGAACTATTTCGTGGTGTTTTCTTGTTAGAAGCCACCACCAGTCAAAGTGTTCACAGCACCCTAAAAGGAAACAAACTGGGGGAATGACTAAATAAATATGTATTCAAGTGGAAACATAAATGACACAAAGAAAAAGTCACATAAAGCCTTATTAATAAATGAAGACAATTTATTACTTCAAGTGTTAATGGTAAAAAAAATTCAGCACAGCTGTTGCATTTAGAAAAGTGAAACTACAATTAAGAAGTACTATGTTCTAGTTCAATAAACAGATGAACCCAATGTTCTTTAAAATAGTTAAGCATTATACAGTACATCTTATGAAGACCCGTAAATTAATGAACTACTTCTTAAATTTAGAGATTAAAAAAATTCTGCATTCACAGCTTTAGCTTCTTTTTTCTTCCACGACCGTCAGGAGTACCATCCATTTTGCGCTTCTGTGCCTGCAAGGTATGGGTTTTTAATAAGTTATTGTGATGCAAAAGGTTGTAAGCAAGAAATGTGTTTCAAAACAAAGCAGATGGAGATGATTTACACCCTGTCAACTTTAAAATGTGATAAACTGCAAACATAATATGGTTTGCATATCTTTGCTGTTATTTTATATTCCCTCAATTCTGTAAGAGTATGATTTCACAGAGGTAAAAAGTGTATAGAAGCAAATAAGGATCTTTAAAAGCTTCCTATTTATGAAAAGGTATTTCTAAATACCCATTTAAATGTTCTGTGAACAAGTCTAAGAAACTTAATAATCCACCATTATTAACTTTACTGATTTCTGCACACCTGCCAAGTAATTTGTTCTTCTGAGTTGTTTATACAACAGCTCTAGGCAACAATACACTGAACAGCAAATCCATGTAAGAAAATGGGTAAAGCTGGTGTTTCCTTTACAAAATAGTCCTGCATATTAGCAATACTTTGAATTTAGTCAGCAGAGAGTTGTCAAGCATATATGCTGTTTTCCCAAAACTATCTCTAGAAGCCCATTTGTATGCAGATTTGTAGATGATTTAACAGATTATATAAATCAAAAGGCCAGATACACCTCTGGTGTATTTACCAGGGTAAACCTATACAGTGCACCAACACAGTGATCCAAAACATAACCAGTTTATCGGCTCCAAAGCATGTGAGCTACAATTTAGAACCTAAACTTACTTTCCTCAGCTGTACTAGCTGAACACCAGCATGAACTTCAAGCAGCTTTTAACACTGCTTTTTAAGTTTTTGTTGTTGCTTTTAAATAACTTTAGGTATCACTTGTCCTAGACAATCAGAAAAGCACTCTGTCTTCACGTGAGCTTTTCCACAGAAGTGCCTTTTAAATCTTACCGAAGATGGTTTTGGTCCACGTTTCTTCTTTTCTGCCTTTTCCTTTTCTTCCAGTTCCATGTTTTCTCTTTCAATGAGAGTGATTAAAGTATTGCATCTCCTTTGCAGCTCCTACATTACAAAATATATATACAATCAGTACCTCAGGCAGCCACTCAATGTAAAAATTGTATTAGAATATTAGAAATGCCAGTGAGGAGGTAAGTGTTTTGCTGTATCTTGTTGGAATAACAAAGGAATTAAATGTTTTTGGATACTTACTGGCTGGCTTCAGGAGTGGATTTGATCACAGGTGTTTGCTTTTTAAGACACTTTTGTATTTAACTCAAATTCATGTTGATTTTGGGAAACGGCACCTTAGAACTTTGAATTTCTCCTCCCGTAAGACTTTTTGGTTTATCTGCATTTGCCACCCGCGACAGTTGTTGCAAAGTTAGAAAAAGGTAACATCTTGTTGGCATGCACATACCTCAGTATTTCAGCTATTTGATTAGCCTGGGGTACAACCATTTTGTCATAGGAATTCATGAACAAAAAAGATTAATGTGTATATACCATTGCAGTTCTGGACTTGAGAAACCAGTCAAATCTGAATTGCGGCGAGTTTCGGATACATTGTCTTAATTCATCATAGACATTTTCCTTATCAAATCCTAGTTTGTGAAGCATACAGATCAGAAAGCGATCTTCCTCTTCAGTGTAATTCTTCCCTTTATTAGTACCATATGATATTCTTAGTTGGTGGAAAGGGGCTTTATATCTCCCAATCTGAACAAAACAAATAAGACCATATAAAGCTAAGAAATAGGTCAGAATTAGCATGGAAGTCTTTTGTATGAAAGCAATACATGACATGAAGACAGAAAACTGAATCTTTTATGATCTCTGGTGCTAAGTCACCACAAATAAAGGACTGTAGGTTCTGGACAGGCCATTTATCAAAGGTATCTAAACTGGCAAATTCTGGTTTAGACAACAGACTTTGTGATCTTCCACTTAAGGGCAGACGCCAGACCTATCACTACATTTGAACACAGTCAAGATCTGTCAGTATTGAAATGGCAATGATCCTTTCTAACACAAATCCTCAAGAACTGTCAGACTAGAAGTAAAAAGGTACATGAGACTGTAGCACACGGTTCAGCTGCATCCTGGTTAACTGAATCCAACACTTGTTCTTCCCTAGAAGAGAATTAATTCAAACCTGAAGTGGAGAGAAAACTGATGAACTGTCTTAATTTACCACAAATCTGTTCACCATCAAACCCTGGTTGGTGAAACACAGACCAGAATGGAAACATCCTCTGCTTGGTAAGTCTTCCCTTTTAACTGCTCTAAACATGTGCATATATATACGTATATACCTCACATTTTCAGTTACATGGGTCCAAAAGAAATCCTACTTCTTCCAAAAGTATGTAGTTACCAGGAGCTTGTTATACAGCACTACAAACCGTGTCCTGTGACACAGATTACTGTTACAAACAACAGGTTAGGTCACATCTAAAGTTGTCATCACATCTGTCTGCCAGGACAGCACTGCTGTGGGATGGAAAAGCTATAGGAAACAAGTGCTGAGGATTATGCACAAAAGGCAAATGTCATGCCCAGCATGCTGCCTTCATGCATCAGTAGCACTGGCCAGACACAGAGTCCTGTTTTTCTCCTCAATGGCACCAGCAAATAAAGCAAGCAAGAAACAAGCAAACTCACCTTTGTGTCGAGTGCCTTTTTTATGCTGATTCGTCTCTGAATTCTGGCTTCTCCTCTTTCAATCTGAGCCATGATCTTCTCTATGTCTTGGAGTTCGTTGCATCTTTCCCAGAACACAGCTAAGAAAAGAACAATTCATTAGTTTCTCATCATGCATATTAAAACTTAAGAAGTTTTACCTTAAAAAAAGATGTTAGCTGCTATTTTCTTTTACCAGAGCTCACTGTTGTATAGCAACACGCCCTTCCCTGATAAGGAACCTCTGCTTCCTGCTATCATGTGTTGCAGTATTACAAATGCTATTTTCAAGGGTTAGATATAGGAGTCAGTTTAAGAGGTGTGATACAGGCCAGAAAGGTTTTTGTGAGCCAGTCTCCTTATCAGGAGAAAAAGAGCTTCTTCAAATGGAAACTGATGCAGCAACAGAGTTGTAGAGAGGGAAGAGGGAGGGCAACTGAGTGGCCAAAAACAAGCAAGTGCCTAAAAGACAATTAGGTGTTTAAATAAACAAGAACTCATGTTACAAAACCCAATGGTCATTGTATGTTCATTCATAACATGTTTATTGTATCCCACTCCTGAGGAGGAGGTAAAGGTTAACTACTAGTTAGCGAGTACACGGCAAAGTGGAATCTCAACATTTCCTTTTCAAAAACTATCCTACATCTAACTGGGTAGTGGTGTCTTCAGTTCTTGTTAAAATGAAGTGGATCAGCAATAGTCTACATGTGCAGTTTAGTACAGCCTTAATTATGCAGGGGTAGAGATGGTAAAATCCAGATCAGCGGATCCCAAATCCATCAGTACAATTCTACCCTGAAAATCTTAGAGTGGTGTAAGAAAATCCCAGAAATAAGGCATGAACATGTTCACAAGCAGTTTCAAGGAGGCAAGCAGTGTTAGATATGGACTCACAGAGTTGACTACAGAACTGAGTTACCTGAATACTCAATGACTTCCTCTGGGGTTTTTCCTTCTACTTCTCGTGCTATATTTTCAATGTCATCACGGCCCCACTTCTCATTGGCTTTGATGAACTGGTTGAAATCTCTCTTATTCCAGTTAGTGAAGCCCTGTATAGCAATCAAGGAAACATTGCACAGAGGTTCAGGATTTGTCTCTCTCCAAATTTGCTTCAATAAGGTTTCTTTAAACCAACTGTAACACCTCCATTATTCCAAGAGTGTTAAACCTGTTCTTTCTCTGCAGTTTAATTTAGTAGAAAAACTGTTTTTATACTGCAGTCTCTGTAGTCTATTTAAATACTGCATAATGATTAGCAGTTACCTACAGGTTTCAGGTAGGAGTTTTCAGCTCATAAATTAATCCCTCCTAATATTCTCTGCAAGGGAACAGGGGATCACTTTCCTAGAGCCAAATTTCCTAAAGTGAAGCAAGTGGTGACTGTAATGGTTTTGTTTTACCAAAAAGGCCCACCAAGTTGCCTCAGAGACACCATCAGCCAATCTCCCTCAGAAGGTCCAAAGCTGTCTTGTGATGATGACACTCAGTAGGGACAGAAGTAGCACTGCTGAAGTTATCAGCTGCTAAAATAGGCTTATTTCATATTACCAATAACTTTGACAAATTGTTGGAAGAAATAAGTTCTGTCAGCCTTGTTGTGATTTAGCCACAGCTTACTCCACTGTACTGACTCCTGACCTCTGTGAGTCTGCTGGTTCTGTGAGTCTGCTGGCAATAGTGAGCTGTTCCAGCACATTACTACTCAAGCAAGAGATCTTGTCCTGTAACTCTGATCCCCTGCCAAAATACAGTATGAAAATACAACACCCAAATAAGGCATATCAGGC